CTTGGTCTTCCGGATAAATGGCACTGTTTGCTCAAGGAACCGGTATCACGCAATTTTTGGTGAATTCTTCCAAAGGAAGGAATCTGGCGATTTGGATAAGCGTCAACATAAAGACGCCGCGCTTCGGTGGCGTTCCCATTAGCACGACCATACATGAAATGCATGTCTGTTAAGCCATAGCGAAAGAAAACTTGTGCACTGAGAACAAGTGTCAAATACGTATTGTTTATTTCACTAAACATCAACCAACTATTATACGAAAATACACAACGTTTTCGCAAAATAAAAAAAGGGGCTAAAAACATAAAACATTCCATATCTCCGCAACCGTTACTTTGCGGACCCATGTTTATTGAGACTTTTCTGCTTATTTTGGTTCATGCTATTACCTCCTTAAATATTTTACACTCTTTTTTTAACACCCTGTAAACTTGAGGATAATCTTTTAATTTTTAAATTAAAAACTTTTTAGTTTGTGGCCATTTATTAGCATTATTACCGCGGTTTCCGGGACAAACTAAATATACACTGTAAAAAAAAAATCGGTGTGAGTGAAAGCAATAAAGGTTAGGAGTGAATCCATTGAGGGAAATTATTGGGTATTTTGATCATTTTACTCATTTGTGATTATATTTAAACTGAAACTGAGTACTTTCAGTTACACTACTACTCCTTAAATAAATTCTTCACGTAAACTCGTATTTGGTGCACTTGTAGCATCAGAGTAAATGTCCTCATTGCTGAGTGATCCCACCCTTTCTTACATGCAGATGCATTGTCTTTGTTCCCATCGTCCTATTAGGTTATCTCGTGACCGTGGCATGGTGGATGGCAGTATGGCTTATGGTGTGTTTTGGAGTTGGACAAGCATCGTTTCATCGGTTATTCGAGTAAAAATTGTATTTACCTAAATATAGTGATTTAATTACAATAATTAAAGACAATATATTAAGTCTTGATTAATATTTGGTTAAATAAACGGATAGTTAAATTTTTACCTATAATTACACGTATTTGTAATGTACATTATAGGTTATGGCAATCTATTCGTCCGATCAGTTCACCAATTCCTTTAATCGAGACCTAAAATATTGTACCTATCTAAAACAGATATGTGTAGAAACCACTGTGGCAGCTTAGTAGTTTATGACTTTAATACAATAAATTAAGGTGGCCATATCCCTGGCCGGGAAATTGTCACATTTCTGGTGTTTTTAGGTACTGAAATCTTGAAAAGTAAAACGTGTAGAACAAAAGTAAGCACAAAAATAAAATCCTTGATGTTCTGTTTATTCACTGTTACTATTTAAATTTACCTACTCAAATAAAATAATAACTAAAAAAATCGTTTGTAAAACATGCGTTTGCTGTTATCCTAACCCCACATTTTAAGAATTATTTTCAAGTACTTATAAATAAAAGTAAACAATTTTATATGTAGGACTAAGCAAGTAAATGTTATAAGAATATTTACATGTGGAGTTGTATATAAAAAAAGTTAGTATTTTCGTAGATTTTAGTACCTAAAACCTTGATGGTTTGATCATTTTTTGCACCTTGTTTATTCGTTTTACTGCGGCATCTTTGAAAATACCCAGATGGCATGACATAACATTCCTATTATTTGATAAGCTTTAGATTATTTAGTTATTAAATATTTGAAATTATTTGTCTTTGTTTTAAATTATTTAAAGAATATGGCGCCCTTAAAATTTAAAGAGGATATAATCCAAGTCTGAGTAAAAAATTACTCAATAATACTTAAATTTAAATCATATCGGAGAAAAATTGGTTTTATACTCTCAGAATAGAGTCAAAAGTCACTCAATTAATAGTTAGCAGTAACTCGGATTTGAGTAAAACTCACTCATTTCTGATGCAATAGTCATTTGTACTCATACTAATAAATTGAAAATTTCACTCAATCGGGTATGGACAGAAATTGATACATTACTGAGTAAAATTGAGTGAAATTTCAGTGAAATTTTTTTACAGTGATATAGTAGTGAATTATTTGTATTTAATAATAACATGAAATCCATAACTTTGAAGTAAGGATATTTAACAGGTCAAAGATATGACAAACATATTGCTTAATAGTCGATTATTATAAGATGAATATTATATTATAACAAACAGT